TATTTCTGCCTGCATCCTCCAAATATGGTGGGATGTTCTCAGGTAGAAAATGGCTCCCTGAACAAAGCTGTAGTGCCTGTAGGGCCGCAGCAGTCTCTGGTGTTAGGAAGGCAGTAGTGCATTCTTCCCGTGTCTTTCAGCCCTGCTTTTCATTACAGGGCAGCAGACCTCTCTCTTTCTTTCTGTCTCTCTCTCGCTAGCCCAAATAGAGCACTGCCCACCTGGACCACTGTGACGGAGATGGGAGGTCCTGTTTCGCTGTATAAAATGTACATTTGACTGTAACCCTGTGAATGATGTAACAATTTCATTATTTGTAATATTGTTATTGGTTTATTTTCTACAAATTGAAAAAAAAGCCCAACTTGACTCTCCTCATTAAAACATGAAATGAGATCTGTTATACAGCGTTCTGTGTTTTTTGTGTGCATGTGTGTGTTAGCCTCTGTGTTTGTTTTCTGATAGCACATTGCACCAGCGCCGCCAAAGTCATGGGCTGAATTCCTAGGGAATGCATAATACTAAAAATCTATGGACAGAATACACTATCATTGCTTCAGATAAAAGTGGCTAAAAAAATATTTAAATGGATATTCCAAGTTTAGTAGTTGTTTGCTCAGTCAGCAATGTTTGTGGCCTAATGTTAATTACCACTGTTGATTTAAAAAAATGATTGTAAAATGTCTATTTAATCTAAAAAGAAAAAAAAAACTAAAAAGTAAATTAAAATAATTTTCCTTATGAACGATTAAGCTATCTTCACATGGCCAATAATAAAATGTCCAATTAACAGCATTTGTGGTATAATATTGTAAATAATAAACAATTGTAAAATTACAGTTTACTTAGTTTTTTCTACACTAGCTAAAATAAAATAACAGAAAGAAAAAAAAATCGGTATAACTTTTCTGTATAAAAAAGAGGTTGCAGTGAAGCACTTATACTTGATGAAATGATGTGAATAGTGCCAATACCCCAAACATTAAAATACTCTGATTTCTGGTAGCCAATGTTGACATTTGAAATCACCAAAACAAACACACCCCTATCCCAAAAGGGT